CCGATATGCTTCTATCATAGTTTCTACTGACTTCCACGAACGCGTTGGAGTGAGTAGAAGCTATGATAGGAGCATGTCGGAGCATGCAACGCGAACAAACCTTTTATTGGAGAATAAAACTGCAATCTCTAATTTATAACAGACATCCTAGACGAAAAATTGATTAAATCAAAGGAGTAAAATAGATGTTTATATTTGAAAATCTTTACTTTGAGCTGTCTTTTGTCTGTTCTTTTTTACGGGACTTGGTCTAAACAGTTTATTTTGTAACTACGTTAATTTATGATATTCGCGTTGTATTGGATTCCTTTGTACTTTAAAATAAATCTTTGTAAATTTACATTTCTGTAAGTCGTGAAATACTGGAAGTTCCGTCCTTGAATAAATACGAAAAGAATTTTTAGAGCAAGAGGTATATGGGACCGTGAATTATTCTTTCACTTCTAAATTTAATATTAGTCACCACTCGCAAGTTTTATTGAACGAAGTTTCTTTGAAGATTTCTCTTTTGAAATTGCTCTCGACCTTTTTCTAAATTATTCTAAGTGATCACACTAGCTAATAATATATTGTATTAAGTAGGTAACAGTGTTGGGTAATTTCTTGTTTAATAGAATAAATTGAATAGTGAGGTTTACCTAAGTTTATTGATTACATTGAGCTTTCTTGTAATGAGTTTCATTAGAAAGGAATCGTTCAGCCACGTTTAGCGCTAAATATCCTATGTGAGCTATTACGTTAAGAAAAAAATTTAACGCGTAAATTAGTTATATATTTGGTGATAATTTAAGCAACACGTGCTGCATTGTATGTACAAGCGGTATTTTTCGTTTATCACTTCTACTTGAATAATCATTCACCGCGAATTGTAATTGTCCTCTATTTGCCTATAATACGTAACACTGCTGCGTTTTCCTGCCTTCCCTCGTGAGGCTGTGGAAATGCGTTTAATAAGCCGATAAATAATCGTTACGCAAACAATTTCGAAAGCTCCGCTCTATATTTCCATCGCGTCCGAAGATCGTCAGAATTACGAGCGAAGAAAATCTGTCACTCGACACGACAACACGCTCTGATATCTATATCTACTAATGTAAATTAACTTTAGTTTTGGTTTATCTTTTATTTATCTTTTTATAATTTTTAGAACTACGAAGAGATAATAGGAATAAACTACGCATTCTCTGTCTTACAATTAATTGCTATGCTCCATTAGAAAGAATTGAACATATCTTTATTTCTTTTTAATTCTGTCAGCATTTTTCTTCAGTTTGATATTTTAAACATAGAAAGTGATATGCTTCAAGCCATGGTAGATCATATTCCACCATACTTCAAACTATCTTGTTCCTTCTAATTTCAAGAAATGCACAGTCTAGTTTTATTACGTTTATGATTATAAAATTCAGTTTAAAGTTAATCTACATTGATAGAGGGATATATGGGAATTGTAGTGACAGTTGAAATGTATTTTTTCCTGGAAATGAATTAAACTCAGAACAAACAATTTCTATAAATAGATGAATAAAAAATTGTGATACAAGCGAGCAATATAATTTTTGACATTTATTAATAAAGTATATTTATATGAAATAAATATCAATGTTTTTGAATTCGAACTCGATTTTCTTTATAAAAAAAAAAAATTCTTAGAATTTATTAATATAATTATTTGTATACGTTTTTTAGAGGTTAATATTTCTTTGATTTATATTTGCAGAAAATGCACCTTTATAATCTAATTCGAAAACACTTGCGTTGCTTCTGCTGCCTCATTTTTTTAGATAGTACTTAATATCATATTTAGTTTTTACGAGACGTTTTTAACAAGAGAGCTACGCTTTTTCAAAATCAAAGAAAAATATAATCGGAAACACAATTTTGCAATAAAAAAAATCTATAAATAAGAAAAAAATTTATTTGACTTTCATTGTTTTTTGCCTTTTCCGAGATTAGATCCATTCGATAAGATTAGGAATTTCCATAAGCTATTGCATTAATGACGATAATCGATGTGATTTTCACACGTAATGTTCAAACAGAAATGGAGCCGTAATAAAGATTGTTTTCGTTTGACGTTATCAGTGACATGATCTTAACTTCATGATATTAGACATTAAAAATGAAATTTTCTGATATTTATTGTTTATCAGATAGATTTTCATATTCAAATATACAAATAATTATCAAATTTTATGTAATTATCTGAAAAAAGTATAAGATATTATACAGAATAGATTTAAAACTTAAAGAACTACTCAGTGTGTCTATGAAACATGTTTTCTCTCTCTCTTTTATGTGGAAAATAACTAAATAGTATTTATGCTGCATATAACAATACATGTCTCGGGAATCATCAAAGGGAAGGAGGGAGAGATAATATCGCGATTTTTAATCTGGTTGATCTCGCATTGGGAATTTCCTTCCGTTTGGTATTATATAGAAGCAAATATTTCTCACAATTATAAATAAATCTGCAAATTTTGCAAATTGAACAAAAAAAAAGAGGAAACTGATTATAAGTTTTACAACTAGAGAGAAGAGATAAGAAGCAAAATAATATTACGTATCAATTAACTCTATTATATCGCACATTATAAATTATTCCAAGGCCTTGGATTTACGTCTTTTGCGCGATATCTGTATCTCCAGTATTCTTTGAAGGCACGCACGAGAGTTAATTAAAAGTAAGAATTAAAACGTTCACGCGGTGAGGTATTGAGTTGTTCACATGGTATGTCGATGTTACGTCAACGGTTCTCTGAAAATTGTAAGAATCCAGTTAACAATAAATTTAACAACATTAATCTATCTTGTTCGAATCAATGATGGTTTATGAAATTTTAGAAGAAACAAGTTGCTAATTTCATAAGATATCGATTGAATATAAAAATTTTTTTTATGTGAAAAATAATCGAAAGATTTAACTATAAAATTATTGAAAGATAAAAGTTTGAAAAAATGTTACTTACATTTATCACATATTATGTCAGTCAATATTTATTTTATAAAAATATTTTATCAAAAAGCGTTTCACTAACTTTCGAAACCTGAAATTTTACATGTAGTGACCTAATTTTAATTAAAACGAAAATAATGGCAATTACGAGGTTGCATTCGTTAAATTGTTTACCTTTCACGCATATTCTGTCAGCTTTTATAAATTTAATAATATTTCATCACATCTGACATACTTAACGTTTCATAATTATTTTATAATGTTATCTTCCATCATTATAATATTATTTCTCATAATTTCTTATCATCAAGATTTATCTATAAGAATTGTCTTTCGTAATAAATATAGTAATTAATAATAAATGTAAATAATTTTAAGTCATATTAATATCTTTTACATTTGTAAGATAAGAAAGTTGTCTTAAAACAGCCTGGATAAATATTTGCATTACTCGGTACATTGATATTATTACAATTAAGCAGAATTTGATATTAAAAATTTTTATTTGACTTTGCATGTGAACAGGAATTACAGTGTGAAAAATTTTGTAAACATGCGAAGCAAATATTGAGTGTATGTATTTACAGTATTGGACTGAAGGCACTTTGAATACGTGATGACAATCTTTTTTTTTTTAAAATACTGTCCAAAAGGTTTCTGAAAGTTTTGAATATTTTAAACACGCTAAAAGTCTCTTGAAGTTTCAAAGATATATATTTTTTATAATATAATTTATCTTAATATATTTTCCATTTTATATACCAAACAATAATATTAGACATAAAAAATGTCAGTACCAATTTTAGTTTTTTCAATATTTTAAATGGATATTTCTTATAGGAAAAAATTTTTAGATGTCCTGAAATATTTAAGGATCTTCGGATTTAAATATTTCGAAGCAGTTTAAATTTTTATGTGTATTTTTATTTAGAAACCATCAAAGGGAGATTCTCAAATACTTATTTTAACGGTTCATGTGAATAAATCCTAGCTTTGAATTAATTAAACATTCGCTACGCGTTTTATCACTTACGTGGCATTATCGTTGTATGCATTTCCTCAAGGTTCGCGGCGATTTGCATAATTAACCCCTACTGACCCAGTATCGGCGGTAGTATATATGCATATTATTAAAATTCAGAATTATTCACATCATAATAATAATTCATTAAACATGGCACATTATTATCGGAAAGCTTAAATTATATATTAATATTTAATATATAATTCCTCGATTTCAATATCATATATTATAACATTAATAATTTTAATATCTTTTTTTTAACTTTTGTGAATTATTTACAAAAGAAGATCTCAATTTCTATATTAATTGTATCGCAAGGCAAGATTATATTTGTAATTTTATATTTTCATTTTCAGTATCTACTAAAATTTACTGTATATACGACTAGTATACGCTAATTTTATTTAAATTAAAAATTATATTATGTTAATATAATGATATTAGTGAAATAATAATATTAATAATGGTAATATATATATATTTTTTAAAATTAATTTCAATTAAATTAATAATGACATATATATTGTATCATTTTATAATGAAAAATCCTAAACATTTTCGATACTATTTGAAACTGAAAAATTACTGAAAATTTCAAAACTCTTGAGTATTTCGAAGGAAACTTGAACATTTTAAAAATATATATTTTCTGTTATAACACTTTACATTTCCTTATCTTGAGTGGCCTCTTCTTTTATGCAGATACAGATAACACATTTATTTTTAAGAATTGTGATTGTTTTAACGTATATGCTCGTATGCAGCCTTAAGGAAAATTTTTTCTTATATTTTTAAAAGTTTGAAATATTTGCAGCCTTAAAATTTAAAATAATTTTTTTGTTTTATACAAATACTTTACACAATTAAAATATTCTGAAATTTAAAACGAGGATTTGATTTATTGCTAATGTTTTAATCGCTTTCTTGCCCCTGAAAAAAATAAAGACGATGCTCAGTGTGTATCATATCAAGGAGAAGAACCAAATGAAGAGAATATTTGTTTGTTTCATGTTGCAGACGCAGATATGGGCATGGGAACAGGTGCAGCGGGTGGTCCTGTCTTGGCTCTTCCCGGTCCAGGAGTCAACGCCGCCCTTTCGCAAACATGCGCCATATGCAGCGATCGCGCCACGGGGAAGCATTACGGCGCTGCATCCTGTGATGGCTGCAAGGGTTTCTTCCGCCGATCTGTTAGAAAGAATCATCAGTACACGTGCAGGTATACGCTTGTATTATAATATTTTAGCTATAAATCGGTATTATCTGACACGTATTTTAACAACCTCCAGTTGCAAGACAAGTCATGATGTAGCGAAACTTGATTTCTTGAAAAAAATATCACCTCTGTTTTTTATAATACAGATTCCAAAGGAAGTGTCCGATCGACAGAGACAAGCGAAATCAATGCAGGTACTGTCGATTACGGAAATGCTTCAGAGCCGGCATGAAGAAAGAGGGTGAGTTTGATTTTGCAAAAAGTAGACATCATTTAAAATTTAAATAAGATTAAAATTATTTCAAATTGTTTCAAACGCGTAGAAAAGAAATTATCCAATCATAAAATTTATCAAGACGTTTTTTTATTATGTATTATATTTATATAAATTAATCTTTTTAACTTTTATTTTTTTGAAATACTATTTAAAATGTAAATTTGTAATTTGTACCAAATTAAATTGTCAAAGCAAATTATTAGCAGCACAATTGCATGCTAAAAATAACTTATTTTTCGACTTGTCACTTTGCTGCCCCCTCCCTCCTCTTTTTAATATGTGTAAAAAAAAACATTTAATTCTTTTAAGAACTTTTTTTTATGCAAACTAACTTTTACGGTTACATTTTCTTTATTTTCTGCTCGACGAATAGAGAACTTATGTTAAAAATTCCTGATAATTTTTACAGCCGTACAAAACGAAAGAGACCGGATAAGTTGTCGGCGACCTAGCAACGAAGATCCGCCTGATAAGAATAAGGGCCCATCGAAGGAGGATGTGATGAAGGCGGATGCTCGCGCCGAAATGCTCAGCAAACAAGTTGGCGGGTTAGAGGTGAGTGACTTGACCTGTTGAATTAAATATTTATATATTGCCATCCGTTAACACGCGCATAAAAATTCGGCGCATTGTTTAATCGTTGCTATTTATTTCCGTCAATATCATGCGCAATTCTTGTCACCTTTGTTAAACAAGCGTTATAAAATTTATTGAATTCTTAAATTGGACGACGATTGAACTATAATACTTTATTTCTTATTCTGAAAATAAAAAAATAAAATAAAATAATTATATTTTGCAAACTCTCTTACATCATTTATTAAAAACTTAAATAAGTTAAATACGTTTGTCAAAAGAACGTAATATTTTAAACATTTTTTTAGCGCTTAAATTACTAATGTAAATTATTTATTATGATAGATTATTATTAGATAAAAAAGAGAAGTAATATTTTTCTTTTTACATTAAAGCTCATGTTCACTCACCACTACTATGATTGTGACGTCAGAAACGAGAAAATGTACAATAAAAGTTCTTACAAAATATATTGATACAAAAATATATTAATAAAACAATACTTTCTCAATTTATATAGCTTCAGCAGCCAGACAGTCCAAACGGCGAAATTGATCTCAGCACGAAACGAATAGCTGGGATAAACGACGTGTGCGATAGCATGAGGGAGCAACTATTGATCCTGATTGAGTGGGCTAAGTGTTTTGACGAATTCAAAGCGCTGTCACTGGATGACCAAGTAGCGTTACTGAGGGCCCATGCAGGCGAACACCTGTTGCTGGGGGTGGCCAGGCGTAGTAGAAATTTCACAGACGTGCTACTGCTCGGCAACGATTGCATCATCATGAGGAATTGTCCTGGTATGTAGTTTATAGATTTACCATGGGTGTCACGGTTTTTGTTGTTCTTAAAGTTTTTTCTTCTCCGAGCAGAGCGATCGATGTCGAGCGAAAATTCCAACGCGTGTAAAGTATGTATATCCGAGAAATATCTTGAGTATGTGTTTTTGAAAAGAGAGGGCGACTCTTTAAGTGATCTTTAAACGCGCAATATTATTGTACCATTATTTTGTACAATATTATTAATGCTTCCTTTGAAAATGTCAAAACAGTCTGGTGGTTCAATACAATCTTCAGTCGATCAATAATAATGCAGAATGTTAAATATTGTAAAATAATATTGATACTTCAGGAACCGCTTTAGCATTTTCAAACGTTCACCTCTTGTAGTCTCGGATTGTCAAGACGTATGAATGCATATTGACAAAGTTTCATAAGTACGTTCGACATCGACCTGTGCTCCGTTCAGACTTATTGCTAACATTTATACATTGCTACGTTTCGGCTTCGCTAAATAATGATATTAAATACATAACAACGGAACATGTGCGTATAGGGGATATGCTTAAGAATTCTTCGGGATTGGTAATGTTCCTTTTTGGATGAAACGAGAGGTAAATATTAAGCAAATCTTGACCAGTTTTTTCCGGCGTGCGTTACGTAAACGATCCCATTGTGTTTCCGTTTATGCATATGGTCTGCAAAATATAGAAATTAGTATAAATACGAAACGTTTACACAAGAAATAATAAATAGGAAGAGAACGATTTTATAAGAGTCTACTACTACAACGAGAAAGACATTTCTTTATCTAAGATTTTTGTTTTCTTCATTGCAAATTAATTACATTTCGTGAGTTAAAATAGATTAATTTTTCTGGAAAATTTTCTGCATCGTAAATTCTTTTTATTAAGTCATATATATGTATATTAGATCCAAATAAATGGATGAAACAAAGGATTTAGCTTCTTCTCTTTTTTAATAAGCAAAATTTGAAATCTTTACAATAAATATAAGTGGCATTTCCCGCACATGTAAAACGTAACGTTCCAACAGCATGAATATGTGGTTTCTTATCAAGCGAGCGAAGATATCTTAACTGTTGTCCACAAAAGTCGTCAATATTAGAGCGTTCTTTTGCGCAGCCTATGTCAGCATTTTTTTTCCCCGAGAGTCGTATACGCTTGAAAGAGAGTCTCTTCTTCTAAATAGCCGATTCGACGACGACCTTCACCTTTTCGCTTACGTAATTTCGTCGTTAATGTATATGTGTTGCGCGGATACCGCGATTTATTGGACAACCGAGAGCTTACGTGACGCGATGCTTTCTTCATAACGTTATATCCCGTTTTACCATGATCCCGTAATAAAACCGTAATATCAATTTTAACTAGTGATCTCATCGATAAGAAAAGGAGAATTTCTCGAATGAAAAACCTAGCTAGAGAGCTAGCGATTGCTTTCGTTCGTCTATAAATAATTTTCTTTTATTAAATACATAAGACGCGCCAACAATTTCATAATACTCCATATTTTAATATTTTATCGACAAATACATAGGTCTTTCCTCGCATATCGGATCTATTTGGTGAGTCGCGACATATATAAAAATATAATACCTCGCATGTAAAATTTCTCTGCCATTCGTTTTCCTTTATTTTTTTCCCGAATAATATTGCAAATACATTTGTGATTATGTTACGATTATATCGATGTTTGATTATATTTCCATGTTAGTGCAAGTTTTATACAATTACGTAATGTGTTATATGAATATATCATATATACGTAATCCTAACTGCCTTTTGCGTTTTTGCACTAAATAAAAAGCACGAAATCATTGAATGGGAATTAATTTTACTTAAACCCCCGAAACCTTTTTACAACACTGATACTTGATTGTTAATCTTACATGGAAAGATTTTGCTGAAGTATCTAAAAATTTAAATACATATGTAGATGGAAAAATAATTTTAGTGGAGCATCAAAATAATTATGTAGGGCACACAAACTAGCTGTTATTAGGATATTTTTTGTGATTTTGTTCATCGTACTTGAGATTCTTATGCAATTATTTTAATAGCCCAACAAAATTATTTTTACATCTATAGCCAAATATTTAGATACTTCGGCAAAATTGTATTTTCCTTGTAATCATCACGATGTATCAATTTAATTTTTGTAAATAACTTTGCGAAACAGATGGTTCTCGTAATGCAATATTCTTTTTTTGTTTCAAAATTTGGCAATTTAATAGCATTACGAGGACAAGTGTATTGTGCTGTATTAAGCGACCGATAAAAGGAACGTCATGTCACGTCATCTATCCGTCGCGAGCTATAATCGCAATTTACAATGTAAAACATTTACGGACGAAATGTTATCTCTCCTTGTTATTAACTTTATTTAATTGGAAGGTGTTGAGGGTCACGCGCGAAGCGACTCATTGAGTTCGAAATCTTTTTAATTACGATAAATGCGCGAGTAAGCAAATCTTATCATTTTGTTGACAATTAAAATTTAACCCTGAGGAGTAACAATAAATTCAAACTCTGAAATTGTAAATAAGATCCAGATTTATTGATTTGAATAATTAATTACTCAAAAATACAAGTACTTGAACGAGTATTTGAAGAAATAATAAAAAATCGAACTTTAATGTTATTAGAATTGAATTTACCTGAGTCTGTAATTATTTAATAAGCTACATTTCGTAGTCTTAATTTATATCGGGAAAAAAATTTGTACTTACTTTATAATATAATAATGAATCGCAACGCGCTGGTAGTTTATTATTTTATTAACTGAATGTTTCGTCTGTTTTCGTTGCACAATTACGGGGCTTAGGTGGTTGACTGAGTCCGGAATTCGTGTGTTGATTATGTCACTTTAAAATGCATGTCAATGCATGATCAATGTTTGGTTTGGTGATTAAGTTGGTGTAGAAAGCCCCTTAAGCATTTATCTCCATATTTATCAAATATAAGATCAAAAATGAATTTACTACAAAGTCAAAGCTCTTTTTTCATCTAGGAAAAATTTTCAATTTTTCAATTCTTTTTCAAGAAATTTAAAAAATAAGATCTTTATTTGTTATGAAATTTGAGAAACGAATGTTTTGCACCGACTTACAATTAATATCTGCAAGCCGCAGGTATTTTTTTCCTTTTTTTGTTCCACACCGGACTCAGTTTTTATGGGATGAATGAAGGAACAACGGTGTAATCGCGTCTATCAGTAATATCGTTGCAATTTGTAGAAGGAAGCAATCAGCAGGACAATCTGGACATCAGCAAGGTGGGCATCAGGGTGATGGACGAGCTGGTGAAACCGTTTCAGAAGATCAAGATTGACGACACGGAGTTCGCTTTTCTCAAAGCCATCGTGTTCTTTGACCCGAGTGAGTTCCGCTTATAAATTCGAAGGATCACCACGCGACAATTCCATGATCGCGATTCGCGACATGGAATCAAATGGAATAGAAAATATTATCAATAGATGCAATAAATGCGTGTTGTTAATGTAGATCGAATACGATTCGCTGGCCACAATCTCTATGTTCTTGCGGTCAATTCGGTCTCGTTGAGGCAATCACGCTTCGCGGTTTCACCAGGCTTTCATAAACGACACAAATCATTGCTTATTTATACGTATCAGTGATACGAAGAAAAAAAAATTGCGTATCCCAATTCGCGTTGATGCCTTGAGATTTAATAAGCTGATTGATTTAATTGCATCATGATCTCTTTATTCAGTTGATATTACGTTAATTTATAATTAACGCGATTCAACATTGAGAATCGTCGCGATTGAACTCTTGTCACTTTTCGATTAATGTTCTGTTAAAGGTCGACAGTTCTTCTGTCGAAGATCGATTGTTACTACTATCAAAATTGTTATTTGTAATACATTCTCTAAAAGAAAAAAAGTCATTAAATCTCATCTCCTTGCTGAAGATTTCTTTTTCAAATTGGAGAAAATAAACATGCACATATCTAAAAAAAAAAAGGATTATTAAAACTTTGAGTGGTTAGTTGGAGATTTTTCCCCCTCTCAACTGGAGAACCGGAGATTCCTTTAAAAAATCAGAGGCACCAGCCAAAGAGTTGGCCGTACATTTATTAACAATTAAGCTTCTTTCTTATATATTCCCTGTATTTTGCAGACGCGAAAGGATTGAGCGATCAGAAGACGGTCCGAGAGCTGCGCCACAACATCCAGATAAAGCTCGAGAATCACATCAGCGATCACCGTTGCGATTTGCCAGGTCACTTTGGCGATATTTTGTTAATGTTACCAGCTCTGCAATCGATTTCATGGCAAATGGTCGAGCAAATCCAATTTGTGAGACTGTTCGGGGTAGCACACATCGATAATTTACTTCAAGAAATATTCTTGGGTGGCACTACATCGGAGATAAACGGTACTGCTACCCCTTTACCAATCTCGAACACCGCGCCGGGCAGTTACATGAGCAGCAATGAGAGCCCCAGCAGTCCCTTGACGCCAACGAATACTGGTGACTTGAGCCCACAAACCGATCAGATGCCCGTCATGATTCTGAGGGATCTCACGCCAAATCAGGACTTCAGATACTTCAAACAGGAACCCAGTCTCGAGCCCGAGACCAGCTTTTGACTAGCTTGGGGAACTGAGCTCACCGTTGGATAGCCAACAACGTTCTGCTCAAAAATTGTTGCTCAATTAACAAAACAGCTCGTATTATGTTAGTCAAATCAAATGTGATTTTTGACGTTGATCCGAAAAATAAGATGAGGGAAAGAGACGAAAAATCGATACATATTGTATGCAACGTGTGAGAGGAGTTAGCGCGAAAATATTCAGATTTATGCGACTTTAATTTAACGGCTCAGCAGTAGTCACGTTTTCTAGTTGCGGTTCATGATTAGCCAAAGCCCGTTCACTTGTATAGATAACGATTGATCGCTGATCAAGATAAATGTGATAAGCGATAAAATCGTATCTTACTACTATATTTTACTTGCTACTGTCGCGACAGTATTCAATCATTTCTAAAAGGCTAGAAAACAAAACTAACATATGTACTGCAATAATAATCGTGCAATTGACAATAATAATCCCTAGGTAGCATTAAACATTCTCAAAATTCCAACTAGCCAAGTCTGCTGAAATAGTTTTATCAAAGCATCAAATTTTGTCAGTGAGAAGGTTACAAATTTGATGTAGAATCTGTTACATCAGATGCTCGCGTTAGAACACCACAAAAATGTAACTGCAACATTGCACAGAAATGTTCTATGCTATCTTGGTCATTAGCGATTAATTTGGAGCAGCAGAGACTGAAACCGATGCAATATTGTGATGGATTTCTGTTTAGTATGGAAAAAGAGGATTCCTAGCCTTATCATAATTGATGCAGCATTTTTATTGTGTAATTAATATCGATAAGGACCGATTTATTTTTCTGTGTCTTATGATATCGGAATTCGAATTCACCGAAATAATATATCGGTTTCAAACTCTGATTTAGGGAATAAAAAGTAAGGTCATATCCGATTATTATATTTTTATACGTAAAATTAAGCCTGCAAATCGAGTTAAGTAAACGAAAATAATAGGCAACATCAAACATTGATGTTACGAGAAATATATATACGTATATTTTTTTCTACTATTCTGTTTAGTCCGAATCGGATGAACAGCATTGTAGTTTGTGATGTAATGTAAATAGCATGATGCAGCAATGTATAATAATGTGTATAACATTCCAAGTATGATATAGCTGTATCGATATAAACGTTATAGATAGTCTTAAAATAGCTGATGGGACGCGCTAACGTAATCATCGAATGCGGGTCCCCTGCAAAATGAAAAGTGCGCCATTGCAATGCAATTTACCGTTAGTATCAGTAGTGATGAAGAGTGCACAGGTGTTGGCCATTTTGTGAGTGTGAATGTTGAGCGCGCGGTAAGCCAGCACAACGGCTGTACCCAATAAAAAAAAAAGTGGCTAGTGCATCTTATCGGTGTTAGTCTTTAGTCTCATTTTAAAATGTCTGCAATATTGACATATATGGCCGGATAGAAAGCAATAGCATAATAAACGGATAATAAATAATATTAACGAGATAAAGAAGTATAATAAATATAGAGTAGTGTAATATGAATAATACAAATACATGTTTATTGTATAAATTAACATGCATTGATCGCATGGTGATTTTAGTTGTAATTATTACGCGAGAACAATTGTGAATCATGAGAAAATATGACGAACTAGCGAATCGCTTCTATATCGAAAGTATTCGATTTGAGAGGCTATTAAGAATAAGCCTTGATCTAAACAAAATTTATACAATATATGTATAGATATGTGCATTAGATAATCAAAATTTGTAAATAATTTTATTTGCAACTGTATTTTTTCTTTGTTTATATAAATTCAACTAATTTGACTTTTGTTTGTTGTAAAAATTTTATGAATATGCGATATTTGCATTATATTCTGTATGGTTTCTCATGACATGTATCCAGTGTCAAATATATATATATATATATTTGAAATATATATATATATATATATAAACAAAGTTTCACAACACATAGTACTATATAAAAGACATGTTTTAATATAAGTAAATACCACAATTAGTCCGGCAAACATATTTTATATTTTTGTACGAAGAGTTTAATAAATATTAATGTTTAATGTAAGGTATAAATTAGTGCAAGAAAAAGAAGCGCGCGTGATTGCATTGTTAATAATAAAATGATATTCCACTGGAAAGTGTAATATATTTAGTGTTTCATTGCATATTTCTAAGATATTTTAACAATTTTTAGTCATGGGTTGTGAAATAGATATTATCACCTTTTGTTGTATGATTCTTTATATATTGTTGACAGTTCGAATGTGACTGATTCCATATATATGTATATATTATATATATATAAATGAAATTTTTATTTGTTATTTAATAAGTAATAAGTTACACAGATATATATTATATTTGTATCTTTAAATAAAGGGATATGTAGTTTTAATGTATAAAACAATAAATTTTATTTAATATTACAATCGCTTTTATTATATTAATCACTTGTATAAAAAATTATATCGTACAAGTATATAATTATAATACTTTATATCTGTTTTTTATCATATATACATACATATATTATATGCAGTGCACTTTTTAATTCAGTTCATAATCCGTTCGTTTTCGTTTCTTAAGATTCATGGCACTCTGTGAAGTTTCAATAATGCATGAACCTTTTCTTAACCATTCGTTCAATTGCAACTTGGCTTTCCTGCCTGTGAGAAACAAGTCTCTCTCTAATCTCGGCAGTAAGCTGTTAAGCGTAGGGTCAGAAACAGGATTTTGTGCCCAGTCCATGATTAGTCTAAATCGTGATCTGAAAGTCTAAAAAAATAGAATATATAATTAAAAGAATGAAGAAATAAATGTGAATAACAGCTTAAAGTTAGTACAACTTACTAATAGCAAACTGTCAATTATCATTTCGCAATCACGATTGTTGAATTTCCTCAAATACATTCCCAGTTCATAATAATATGGATTCCATTTATTCAGTACAACGGTACAAGCGTCTGCTAATAAAATTTCTCTATAATACATATAAGAAAATAAACTGTTAGAAAATTCTCCTTAACAGAAATTGATTTTACTATGCATATATAAACTAATACATACCTGTAGCCCTCTTTGTATGTTTTAGGAATGTCTATACTGACTACTGATTCTCTTAATTTATTTAGTGGTTGTGCTAACCATAAAGGAAGTTCCAACTTTGCACCTGATTTTAGATCCTCTGATTCAGAGGATAGATCCAGAAAACCTATATATGCATAATACAATACTATATATAAAATAATCATACATATGAAAATAAATTTATTTTCTATGAGAAACAAACCCTATTGAAAAAATATCACATCACAAAGTTACATAACAAAATTGCATAATTAAAATTTGTAAATAATGTAATAAATTGTTTTAAAACAGTGAGTAATTTTTAAATCATGTGATTTAAAATGTTACACAATGATACGTTTTTTAAATATTTTTATCATTTAATTATTTATAATTTAATAATTATAAAATCATATAATAGATGAAATTATTTCTAATGATTTTTCAAATTACATAATTTTAAAAAACCACATACTGATTTGAAATATTACGTTAATTGTTTTAATTACATGATTTTGTTACGTAACTTGGTGACATAATTTTTTAGTAGGGGATATAATAAGGAATAAAATATTTGATGTTTAGAAAAAAATTAACTAGTAAATTTTATTGCAATTTTCATTATAATTACAAGTTAAAAACTCAATTAATTACTATATTATTATGAGAACTCTGCACAATCATGTAAAATAATCATGTTTATATGAATACATTCTTATTTTCTTACATAATAAATAACATTAACATGAGGAATAAAATATCTGTCTAGGAAAAATCAGTTGATAATTTTATTGCAATTTTAACTATAATTCTAAGATAAAATTGTTAACATTTTAATTGATCACTATTACGCAGAAATGCTTCATTGAATAAAAGAAGTACAATTCCTTTCTTGTTTTTTGTTATTATAATTTTACATTTAAGATTAATAAACAAGTGTTTTATATAGAAAAGATGTTATAAAATCTCGTTACCTAAGCGAGGTAGTGTAACTTCTACTTTGCATGATATTCGTTCTTCTGTACACAAAATGTCGGTCAGGGAAAAATAATCCGGCATATAACTATAAGACAACGTCATTCTTCCTCTTCTGATATTATTTTGAAAATCTCTCAACAATCTCTATCTGATAGAGACTATCATTGTATCTGGCTTGCACCTGCTGTCTCTGCTGTTCAATCAGCGCCTCTTACGAAATAATAGTGCATTTCTTCACTTCTCATCTCTTTCTTTTTCTTCTTCTCCTTTGGTAATATGATTATGGAATATCATAGGATGGTAATGTAGGTAATACATCAATATTTTCATCTATATTGAGAACATTTAAGATATATCCACATAACTTTTGCGTAGCTGCAAAAACATATTTATAACAAAATCTTTAATCCCATTTCTATCACAAAAATTTTGTATTTATGTAAAATACGATTGGATAATTTTTTTTGTGTATGTGGCTATATAAGTATGTATCATAAAAGTTTTATAGAAAAATAAAAATAGAAATAAATAAACGTGAAGGCAATCTCTCAAAATGTCGCTCGCGCTTTCCATACAGTTTGACATTTTCAGAGCTCTGGGAAATGTAGAAAAGAGTAACGGAGTAATTATCAGGGAATGGAAAGTTACTTTTTAAAAGTAACTAGTTACAGTTACTCGTTACCGAGTAAAAAATGTAACTAGTTACAGTTACAGTTATCGCTTTTTAAAAGTAACTCGTTACAGTTACCGTTACTTGAAAAATAACTTTTCGTTACTTTTCCGTTACTTTTTTAAAATCAATTTAAAAATGTACTTTTGCATTTTTTTTTTATATGTAATACTGACAAATATATAGTTTTATTTAAAAAAAAAACAATGTAGAATGGCTCAAATAATAAATTAAATAAAAGTAAAATGAGAAGGGTTACGAGCCAAAAATGAAACAGTTTATTTCTGATAAGAACGACGATGACAATGTAATTAAATGTATAAATATATATTAGAACAAAACAAAGATAAAAACAAACGACGTTTCGACACTTATTGTCATCGTCTTTTAAACTGTTTTGCTTTTGGGTTCATAGCCCTTCTCATTTTACTATTATTTAATTTATTTTTTAATTTTTTTTAAACACAATTTTGTAATTCTAAAACCTGTAAAATATGCAGCAAACTGAAATATTTGTATGTCCTATGTATTACATAGAAGATAGAAGTGTAAAATAATTACTGAATCATAACGGCCGAATGTCTAAGGGCTTTCAAGTCTTATTGATAAGCGCTATAAATAGCATGTATCCAATCGAACCGTGTTCAATCGTGTGCAAAGTAACGACAAAAGTAACTGTAAATTTCGTTACCGTTACCCAAAAAATGTAACTCGTTACCGTTACAGTTACCAAAAAAAGAAAGTAACGCAGTTACCAGTAAAGTTACCAAAAAAGTAACTTGTAACTGTAACTTCGTTACAAGTAACGAGTTACTTCCATTCCCTGGTAATTATATTTATTACAATAATAAATTACAATAATATTGTAATACACTTTTTACTTTTAAAAGCAATCGATATAAATGCCTAAAGATATACTTACGAAAAAAATCATATCGTAAAAATGAAAAGTTCAAGCCATGTTCAAAAAAGGATACTCAAAATTAGTTCCCCTCACCTTACCGCGCGCGGTCCAAATGCTGCACGACGCGACGCTCGAGCGACTTTTGATCTGCCCGCGGGGTTGGCGAGGTGAAGGGGACAGCGGAAGGCGGAGGCGATTCGAAAATCGGCTGAAAGTTTGATACACTTTATATGTGTGTCCACTTGGTATTGGCACCTTTAATTAATAATATATCAGTTTTCATAGTAATATATTAATACTTTTTACGGTAATATATTATTATTAGATAAAAAGGTTTAAACTTTTGAGTATCTCCTTTTTTGAACATGGCTTGAACTTTTCATTTTTATGATATGATTTTTTTCGTAAGTATATCTTTAGGCATTTATATCGTTGCTTTTAAAAGTGAAAAAGTGTATTACAATAATCCGATAATGCTATTCAATAAAAAATTAATAAAAACGGTGAATTAAATAATTCATAATTAAATAATTATGATAACTAAAATCAGTTTAAATAAAAAATTTTTTTGTTTTGAAAATATGGTAAACTTCTTTCAACGATTTATTATATACATATAATATTGTCCTCTAGAGGCGTTGAGTGGCTCACCGCTCAGTGCGATTGACTCACGATCTGCAGACCCGAGTTCAATCCTATGTGCGCCCAAATGCGATTTTTCGCGTTTAATGAGCCAAAAATGGCTCCACCTGGTGATCAAAAGATCAATGACAAAAGAAGTGTAGAATTTACTACAAGCTGTTTATCAGATTTATCTATACATCATAATGACAAATCGATTTACCAAAATTTCCTTCGTTTTGGTGATAGCTCCCTTGCCAATAAACACATTGGCATAATTCTTCCTGCTGTATATACTCCATCAGGATCTGAGGCAAGGGAGCTATCACCAAAACGAAGGAAATTCTGATAAATCGTTTTGTCATTATGATGTGTAGATAAATCTGATAAACAGCTTGTAGTAAATTCTACACTTCTTTTGTTGACGCAAAACGGTTTTGGAATTTGTATAAGATGGTATTGGATTTTCCTACTTAAAAAAAA